CAGTATATTAGCAGTAATTAATCAAAAATTAATACCAGATGATAATTCCGATGTTGAGATTATAGATTTAACAAGTCCGAATACAGCCTTTGATGATGATGTTGGTTATGAAGATGCATTAGAAGATGAACCAATTACTGAATGACCTAAACGCAGAAAAATTAATATTAATATCCCACAAGACTGCAACAACCTTACAAATCGTATTAAAATGGCATTATATAAATCAATGAATCATTATTGGGAAGTTCCACAAGAAGAAGGAACATTGGCTGCTTTGCTAGATCCAAGATTCAAGGATTTAAAGTTTGCTTCCAAATCATTGCGCATTAGAACTTATGAACAGTTAAAAAATGCACATCAAAATATGAGAAACTTAACTGATGAAGATCAAGAAGTTGAATTTAGAGCAGTTTCATCAAATTCATTATTAGCAAGAATGTTTCAAGATAATATTAATTGTGCTGATGAAGTAGCTAATTATCTGGCTTTACCAATATTCATCCTGACGATTGTCCTTTATTATGGTGGAAAACTAATAATACTAGGTTTCCAATATTATCGAAATTAGCAAGAAAATACTTGGCGATTCCTGCTACCTCAACTCCAAGTGAAAGGCTTTTTAGCGAAGCTGGTAATATAATGACCATAAAAAGGACACAATTAGCGTCAAATACATTGGAAAATTTGGTTTGTTGTAAAAAGAATTGGCATTTAGCTGGGGGGATTTTCCATTAAATGAGAAATAATTAAATAATGTATATGTACTGCCGGAAATTAACAAATTAATAAAGTCATTATAAAAAAGCATTCGCCTTTATCAAAATTCTTAAGTTTTAATGTATTGATAAAAATAAATAACATTTTATTAATTTTTTCTTTTGTATCCGTATATCCGGATTAGACCACTAATGAATCCGTTACGGATTTATCCTTTATCCGGATTTCTTACGGATAGCAATCCGGATTCATGATGGAAGTCACGGATCATCTGTTTGCGGATAAACAGATATCCGGATCGGACCACTACTTTCTACTATCATCTATTTTCTTTCATATTCTTATAACAAGAATAACTTCTTCATATACATGTTGTTTGTAAATAG